CATGTCATCCGCTCCTAGGGAAAACAAGTGAATGTCGTCTCTCAGGCGTCAAATGTACCCAAAAGTTTAATTTTTGGTTTGACGTCTTAGACACGTCATCCGCTCCTAGGGGGAAAAAGTGAATGACGTGTCTCAGACGTCAAATGTACCCAAGGGGTTAATAGAAAATTTTATTCCTTTCGTAAAAGCATTAGATATTTCCATGGTCAGTCAATGACAAAATGTCATACAATTTGTCACTTTTCCTTAGAAAGTCCTTCACGAAGATATTTCCTCTAAAACTCCTACCAATAGCCGATTGGATAAGAGCGCTACACACTGGTTGGTAATAACCCCGACCCGGCGAATGCGCTGGCTGAATGAGCGTGTTCGAAGAATTCCACATACGTAACGTGAGTAGGAGTGTCTCTCAGAAATTTCTCCACGAAAACACTTCCTTAAACAGATAGCATCTGTATGTCTCCATGTAATACATAAATTTATAAATTCCTCCTCAGCCGCCTAAACGAAAAAATGGTTATCAACACTGGCTGCAGTACTGGAGGGCCTTGATTCAAATCCTGGAGAAGGCGTGGATGTTTGTAAGTGTATAATGTCTGTGTGACTTGGGAGCACTCAAAGTAGGGAAGAGAGCCGAAAGTCTTCCGGAGAAGTTATTGGTAGTGAAGAGGGGTGAAGGGAGACCCTCGGGTATGCCTCCCTGAGGGTGCTTTCCTTCAGAATTGGGACGAAATTGCCTCTCACCTCTAGGGTGCTATAGAACACGTAGGATTACCACCTAGTCTATCGTGGTCAATCGTGGCAAGGAGTACGAGGTACAATCTTGTATTCCTTGACCCTATGGTAAAGGTAAAAGTATGGGGGACACCAGCGATGTACCATAGGTCAACTGGTAATGCCTTCCCATACTAACTCTTTGAGAGAAAAAAAAAGGGGGAGTGTACTGCAAGTTTTATAAGAATTTGCATAGACTGAAGCTTTTCAAAAGGTCTAAAGTTTGCCCTATTATTATGGTACATCGTGCAATTCCACAGTACGCCCCGCATCCAGTTATTATTAAAAAATAATGGTGTAGGGCATAAGTAGATTACAAAATAGTAGGAATACAATTTGAGATTCACAAGATAAATTGAACATCTGATTTGGTTCAACCAAAAATAGGAGATAAACATAATTAATAAACAATAAACATAATGAGATAATTATAATTAGTACTGGCAACACCAATGTTAAATGATTGTTATATATAATGCTAAAGAGGTAGGTGTCCATGGGTTTTTATTTCAGATATATTGGTTTATTGCAGTTTATAAAGTTCACGAGCGGATCCATTTTCTACATAATCACAGCATGTAAAAGTTCACTAAGTTTAAACTGTATGTGGACTTACACTTGATAGGCCATAGAGATCTAGGCCGTAGGAAGAGAGTCGTTGCATAATTTTCTGAAACTTTGGATATTGATGTTTATCTTTAATTAAAAATCTTTGGAATGCCAGTAGGTCAGTTCTTGATCCTGGGCTTGTTCCGAATACTTGAGACAAGTGAGATTAATAACAAAATTTCCTCCTCAGACGGATAGCTTTCGCATTTGCCGTAACAGATTTAACAAACCAACTATTTCTCCTCCCCCATTTTAACCCAGAAGGGTTATTAGTTCAAAGGTTCTTTGCCCCTGAAGGACTATTGTTTTCGTTTTGCGTTGGTGCACTATAAATGTCCGTTTCACTTTTCAAACTGCTGCCACCCTGCATTATATTGGAAGAAATTAAATAATGAAAAATCTGCATAAATGTACGTATATTTCTCGCATTGTGATAAAACAATGGTACATAGAGCCATCGAATTTTGAATGACGTCATCCTCCTACGAATATGGGCATGTGAAAGATTGCACAAAATCGATGATCATTGCGCACTCCTTTGATTTTATCCATGTACACGTCGACCAATTTTCACTTAAAAAAAATCCCCGAATTGCACAAAAATTGCACTGCGCACTCTTTTAATTTTATCCATGTACACGTCGACCTATTTTCACTTAAAAAAATCCCAGAATATCACAAACTTGCTTTGCGCACTCCCTTTACTTTGTCCATGTACACATCGATATATTTTCACTTAAACAATCAAAGGAGCACCCAATTCTACAATATAGGCAAACAAAAAATACATAATCTCAATAAAATACTTTTTAAACCAAACAATAAAATAACAAAAAGGAAAAAATGTTTATAATATAAGCACTACCAAAAGTAAATATTCACTTACACGATTTCGAGTTCGCTTCGACACCAGAGCCACGTAAAAATCAAAATATCAAACATACTCAAATGACTTTTTGAACAGGTAGTCTTATGATCGAGTGCTTCACATAGGCCATCTGAACCTCTCTCCTACAAACCATTCAAATCCATCTAAACAGTTTTAACACACAACACAAAACCGCTTGCAAAAATCCCCCATGATTCAAAATTTCCCAGAACACGCACCCGATTACGTCACAATAGGGTTTCCATAACATTCAATACTCAGGCTACCATAAATGGAAACAACAACTTTGCCATAATAAAGGGGTACCTTAAAGTCTACTCTACCGACCATTTGGCTAATCTTTAGAATTATGGGTACAGGTAGTTGGCGACATTTGGGTGAGGCGATAAAGGTTACTAGCTAGGACTTTAGCAATAATCTGAGAAGTACACAGTTCAAAATCATATATTATTTGTCTCAGAGAAATAGAGATCATGAGACATGTAATGACATTTTCCGGAAAATTCGATCGTGATTGTGCTAATAAGCACTTGAAAACAAATTTCGCTGCTAAAGTGCAGAATCGCCCACATTATTTGTTTGGCGCTTTTTACAAGAGTAAGAAGAATTGGATTTTGCCAATTTTCTTTGACCTTTTTAAGTGAAAATAGGTCGATGTGTACATGATAAAGTCAAGAGTTGCGCAATGCCATTTTTTGTGAATTCTGGGATGTTTTTTAAGTGAAAATAGGGTCGACGTGTACATGGATACCGTGTTATGTGCGATTTCTTAAAACCGGGAAGCGATTTGCGATTCGCACTTTCTCCCAATTGCACCCTAATCTTCGTCATGATAAGCATTTATGTTCCATAAAAGTTCTAGTATAAACGTAATTCGGTAGCAGATTGCTGAAAAAATGTTGAGTTCAAAAAAAAATGCCTTTACTTCGTAAAACAAATGGCGTCCAAAAAAAAACAAACTGGGTTGCTGTGTAGCAGGGTTGGTCGCCAAATTATCGCCAAGTTACCATAATGTAAAGATTCGCCATCATTTTTTCTACTTCACATTATTTCGCGAATTTCGTCAATTTGTGCAAGGTTGTGTAAGGTCAACAAAGAATGTTATAAAATCAAAGTTAATCGTCATTTCTACGTTCCTCGAAAAAGGGAACTTAATGACTTACTAACGATTGTTTAAGGACAGCCTTTGATCCAAATTACGAGTTGATTATTGAAATGAATGTGTGTAAAATTTTTATTAACAGTTTCTAGTTTTAAACAATAAATTTTACGTATTAAATTCAAACGATTGAAGGTAGCACGAACTTTCTGCACATTTTATATGCTCTAATAATCATTCTTATTACAAGAAAGTAAACAGCATCTTCCGCATTATCGGCAATTGCTAATGTTGTTTAGAGCGCGAAAATTCGGAAATCTTTGACGAGAATAAAACCTAGGTTATGAAATTTAGAATGAAACTTTCCAGTGCATACTACACACGCAAAAATGTTAAGCATTACTTGAAAAAAACCATTTTACATTCTTTAATTAATTCCTTTTAAATTAATAGAAACTGTAAACACCACAATAATATTGTAATTTTTAAAAATTTACGAAGCAACGCTTTTATTTTTAGGAAGAATATGCTTAATTAAATAATATTTAGTAAATAAAAGTTTTAATAAAATTTTAGTAAGTTTGGGGTAAAATCCTGCCGCCTTGGCGCGATTTGAAAATTATCGCCAACACCAAAAATGATCCAAGAACGTCTATATACTATAACTATGTGTGTAAAATACATGGTAAAAGTTACAATGGGTGCCCCTTGTTTTTGGGAGATTCTTTTTTGACGGCAAGATCGGCGTCAGGGAAGACACAATTTTCAATGGCGCTACACAAACCAAAATAAAAAATTTGCATAAACTGTGTGTCCATGTACACATCGATTGTTTTCACTTAAAAAAAAACATCCCAGAATGAAGCAAGCTAGGCATTGCGCACTGTTTAATTGTCCATGTACACATCAATCTATTTTTATTTTAAAAAAATCAGGATGCTAAAGCAAAGTTACACATCATGGTAACCAGAAGAAATCGATTTCATCGCCAAAATTTTACAAAAAAATTGTCGCTAATCGAAGGGGCACCCCCAATTCACTAGAGCCAAATACATAATATATACTATATATAATATATATTCTTTGAATGACCCGTTTACTACTCATCGTTTATGTCCCGTTTTTACTGCTCATCATAAAGTCGCCAAAAGAAGCCAAATCCCGTGTGCACCGGATACTAGGATTAAACCTAAATGGGTAACAATTTTAGGTCTAATTTTGGCATTGATTGCGCATGTACACTCACTGACAAGAAAGCAAAAAATATCAAATAAGAAAGTAAAAATTCTGAGGTAACAATACAAGAGAAAAATTCTAGAATTTTTGCTACATTTCAACAATACAAGTTTTTTTTAATATTATTATGCGACAATTATAATCAATAAAACATTTTCAACACTAATAACTCGGTATACACCAAAAGAAGAGTTACTCGAAGCTCTGTAGTTGTTCTTCTAAACGTTATCAATGCTAAAAGACTTACTAAAATATAAACGTCATTTATGCTCTAAATAGTATACATATTTAATGCGAATATAGTATATTACATGCAAACAGACTTAATATAAGATTCAAACTTGAGGAAACTCATTGGCAACCGATAAAACATTTACGTATAAAACTACTTACGAATTTACGAATTTGAACTCCAGCGTGCAATTATTTATACTTGCTCCAGTGGTATATAAATCTGAATACTGTAATAAATGGCAGACGACTATTCTCGAAACCAACTACCGCTTCGCATGCCGACGTGTGCGGTGCAACTTTTTCAAATTCTAAAAAGTTTGTTTTCCAAAACACTACATCATCAAACGCGAATCTGTACTTTGTGGCAAAACATTTTTATTCCTGCAAATATTTCACAGAAATTTCTTCGCTTGAAGGCAAAACTCACAAAGGCATGTTTCAAAATTCAACTAAAGACCAAAAATATTGCAGTTCACCTTCACCCTTTCCAATACAACCTAGACAGCATATAAGAAAATGGTGACTTCGCTTATTCAAAGTTACAGTTATCGATTTGGCGACTTCTACTCAGGCGGTTGCGATAATACCAAAGTACCGAAATGCTAAAAATGCAAATTTTAATTTAGCATTAAATTTATTTACGGCTGCTTTATGCAAATTGGAAAGTTCTCGTATTCCTCCTATATTCGTTGTATTTTTCTAACTTACAATATATTAAAATCATACTGAAATAATTTAAGAAATCATGAATTTGTGTTTGGAGGCAGCTTATCGTTAACAACACATTAGCTTCTTTCAAGTATGTTATCTTTTATGTTTCATTTATTTTTATCTTACTTTTAAAAAATCCGATGCGTATAGCACATGGATTATACTTGTACGGAATATTAATTATACACATTTTGTCCTGCCTTTCATTTAAACATATTTTGTCGAATTTCATTAGAGACATATTTCTCATTCAATTAAATTCAGCTTTCACTTCCCGGCAAGGCAAAAATACATACAAACTCACATCTTCATTAAAAATTGAAAAGTATAGAAAAACATAAAACACTAAATACAGTTAAAACAATTAAAAAACAATATTTACAATTAAAATTAGAGTTTCTACCCAAAAACAAGCAGTTCGGCTAGCTTAATTCACTATTCTTCGAAATTAAGTGTAAACAAATATGGATGATATGGTAAAAAAATGTAAGCTTAGCCGCACTTAAACAACTTTTAAACTGTTGATAATTATACAACGTTTGCATGCAGATTAAGGGGGCTCATACACATTAAACCCCTTAACACCCTTCGAATATATGACTGTTGCAAGAATTGGGATATTTTATTTATTTTAAAATCAATTACTTTCAACTTTTTACAGCTGACTACATAATATAGCTGCTTTGGAAACTAGTAACCAGAAAGTTTGTGTTGCCACAAATATTTTTGTAATTTAATCCGCTTTGTGACAAAATATTTCGTCACGTTTCCACCTTGCGCACACGATATTTTAAAAATGGTTTATGGTACATACTTGAAATTGGATGGAATTCTTTATATGAGACCTATTTTTTAACTGAACCCAAAATCTGATGAATGTTTTAATATTAAAAAATTTTATGGACGGAAACATTACAGGTTTTTTTTAATAAAATACATTTTATAAACTCGACTCCAAATAAAATAAAAATTTAACACGAAATTCTTAGAATTTTTAGTTCATAGCAATTTCCAAATGTTATAAAAGCTATGTATTAAATATGGAATTAAATTATGCAACAGAATGTTTTAAACTGTGCGCGCAAGGTGGAAACATGACGAAACATTTTGTCACAAAGCGGATTAAATTATAAAAATATTTGTGGCAACACAATCTTTCTGATGACTATTTCAGAAAGTAGCTATATTATGTATTCAGCTGTAAAAAGTGTGAAATAATTGTTTTTAAAATAAATAAGTCATCCCAATTCTTACAACAGTCACATATTCGAAGATCTTACGGGTTTTAAGGTGTACGAGTCCCCTTAACTACATAAAAATAGTTAACTACATAAAAATAGCATAACCACATAAAAATCTTAACCGGAAGATAAGGAAACCATAATTCAATCATTTTTAAAGCAAAAATTTCGCAATTTAGCAACATATAAGAATAAAAGAAACTGAGCTCATTTAGCCGAGTAACAGAACGAGTACAAAGTGTGTAAATATTATATATATATATATATATATATATACATATTTTCGGTGCGGCCAACTGCAACCAGATATTTGTAGTTGTGCTAAAAAAATTTGTAGACTACAAAATTTCAAAGTTCTACTCGTTTTTGAGCTATCTGTTTTTGAGTTTCGTGGCGTCTATATGCACGTACAAACGCCACGAAAAAAAAATGTCTTTTGAATCCATTTTAAAACAATTTTATAATTCGTTTGAGGAAACAGAGTCCTCTATTCTGTCCTTACGTACAGATGTTATGCAAAAACATCGTTAAATTGCGTTCGATAGCTGTCAAAATACATACTTTCGTTAAAATATGATACCTGGAATTTTTCGTGATTACAATACTTCCTTTTACTTCGTACGGAGTAGTAAAAAGTCTCCTTTTGACCTCTACCTATTTAATTGATAGTTTCGAAGAAATGACAAAGTTTAAATAAAAAATTAAAGGAAAACAAAATCCGAAAGTTTTCAGATTTTAAATTGCGTCTAAAGGGGCGTTCTTTTAATTTTTTGTGGGTTACATTTATTTATTAAATATCATGTTCTTCGGACATAAACCATAAAATACAGTTCAACAGCAATATCGCTATGTAATTTCAAGATTGCAGATTCTTCATTATTTATTTTCTTTAATATAATACAGGGCTCTAATATTTGGTAGCAACAATTTGAAAAGTGAACCGACATTTCAAAGCAAAATGCCAAAACGAAATCAATAGTCCTTCAGGAAAAATTGCCCCTTGGGATTAATAAACCAAAAAAATGAGAGATTACGATATTTGGAAGAAAATATTTGTTAACATTTGCTGTTTAGAGCAAACTGTGACTTACGCCACAATTACTAGAGTCGAGTCGCAAAATATACTGCCGGATCGGAAGGGGATATTTTTAAAGGGGGGTTTCTTTTATAGAAACCGTGTTAAGGTGTCCACTATGGCCGGTCAACAAGCCGTAAAACCAAAGGTCCGTTGAACGGGCGAAACGGCTGAGAAGGTCGTAAAAATTCGAGAGTGCCGCTCGTTGTAGTGTCGCCAGGTTGCTTTAGACCCAGACTTAGAAGGAAGCTAGCTGCTGGCGCTAAAACTGCTCCGAGTTGTCGCCAAAATCACGCTAGTCGACTATTTTGCCAGTTAAACAAAATTTATTAATGAATTTTATGTGTAACAAATTATAAATAACCTATTGGAATAATTTTTCGATAGAATCCCAATGTATGGCTCAAAACAAAAAAACAAAATCAAAACCAAAAAAAAAAAAAAAATACTAAAAAAATAATAGAATGGCAATACAAGTTTAGCTCGAATTAATGTGCGGTCACGTGAGCAAGTCCCGAATTTTTATTCCAAAGGGGCAACTTGCCCAGAAGGAGTGCCCACCAGCGGCCGAGCGGTAAAGTCGCTGAACACTGGTAGTTCGATCCGAGGTTCGAATCCCGCGAACGGGCTGGCTGCATGGGTGTTTTCGTGGTTTTCCCCATGTGTAACGCGTATACGAGCCAGTTTCCCTTAGAAAGTCCTCCACAAAGGCATGCCTTCCCTTAGGCAGATAGCCCTCGAGCCTTTGCCGTAATTAAATAACCTAGCCTAGCCTAACCTAACCTAACCTAAGTTCGCAATAGGGCAGATATTGAAAACAAAACTGTGAAAATCAAGTCGACGCTGTCATCATCGATCTTATCAATCGATCTTATCAATCATCGATCTTATGAATGTAAACCATATTAAAAACTCAGCAGAGTTTACGATATTGAACAAATTAATTTAACCTTTTTAAATTGATTTACACAAGATTGAAAATTATTGTTCATTTAGTACAATGGTCTTCTAACTCGACTCACGGAACCCTCAGAACTATGATTTTGTCGGGGAACTCCATCCCACCCTTAGAAAAATATATCTCAAAATAACACTTTATTTATTAATGGATTATTTAGTATATTATCTCCTTTGATAAAGGTAGTTATAATTCTGTTGAATGAAGTAACTTATAAGAATATTTAAAAACTGAATCTTGAAAAAAATTTTAAAATCGAAACATCAAAAATGAATTTTGAATAAATTGAAAATGGAAACTTTTAAAAAGGTATAATTAAAATTGAAAATATAATTAATAAACCAAGTAATTGTCGTTATTGGCCGGAAATTAGTTGACATTTCAAGGGGAACAAACCAACTTCAGATCAATTTTCCCCGTGTGTAACGTGTATACGAGCCAGTTTCCCTTAGAAAGTCCTCCACGAAGGCATCCCTACCCTTAGGCAGATAGCCCTAGTGTGCTTTGCCATAATTAAATACACCACGTCCAGAGGGACAACTTATTTCGTTTTGGCATTTTGCATCGATTCGCTACAAGCATTGTTTCACTTTTCAAATTTTTGTCACCAAAATCGCCCTGTATTATATTTAAAGAAAGTAAATAATGAAGAATGTGCATGAATGTACGTACTCTTCTCGCACTGTGATAAAACAATGGTACTTACAGCCATCCAAATTTGAATAACGTACGTCTCCACCCGAATATAATTCGGAAGCCCAAATTTGGAATTTCTTTTATTATCCATTTCATATTTTTTATTATCTGTTTCATATTTTGCAAAGTATTTATGAGCTTTTGATTAAAAAACTCAACGATTTCAAAGCGAGCAATGGCAACACTGTGCGGGAAAAAAAAAGAAAAATATCTTCAGCGCGCGAGACTTGGCGATATGCCATAGACCAGGGATGTCAAACTCATAGGTACACTTGGGCCAAACAAACAAGGTTTAACTTTAGGCGGGCCGCAAATAAAAAATCAATATTCATAGAAACGTAGATTTATTTCGAATAATACAATAATAAACATCTATATATATTTATATAGAAAAGAACAAAAAAAATTTAATGTTTACGTCCTGATACTTCACATCTCTTCTCTGCTATTATCTTTCCTATTTCGAAAGAAATTTTCTTTGCAGTGATAACTTTCAACGCTGACCCAAGGTGAGCATCATTAATACGGTTTCTAATAGGAGACTTATTACCTTTCATGACTGAAAATAACTGCTCGCACCGATAAGTGGTACCAAACATGGAAATAATTTCATATGCGAATTTTCGAGTATTTTCAAACCTGGCTGGTAAATATTTGTAAAATTCAGGCACGCCCACTTCAATGAATTTTGCTTTCAAATTTGAGTTGCATTGAATCTCGATCACCTCCATTTGTATATGGCTAAGGCAACATGAAGCAAATCTAATTAAAATTCTAAATAAAAAAAATTAAATAA